CACATTCGCTAAGCTTCTTTTTGTTTGACTCGCATTCTGCTCTCACGTACTTTTTTCGATTTTATGAAAACATTTCAACTATAAAAAAAACAAGAAAAATTTGGTTTCATTGTACGTAGATGGTGAAAAAAACATATAGACTACCAAATACAGTCTATCTCTTTCCTTCTTTTACTCACTCTCTCTTCGTCTTTGCTTCACAAAGCAACGAATACATTACAAGGAAAAAAATAAAGAAAAAAAAATTTCACATATAAATGTATTCTTATGTATAACAGTTTCGTATATCGGTTGCTAGGCAATTGTAGGCGTATGTGAATGCAAAACTAACTCTATATACGTAAATTTCGATATAGACTCTGAATCTGTGATCAATTTTGAACTGAAACTATCTACTGACGAAGTAAAATAGAGTTTACTTGCTCATTTGTGTATTTTAGTACTTATTCTATACCATGATGTCAACATTTTTTCAACATAAAGTAACAGCGCCCGCAAAACTAAACATTGATCCTAATAGTGGAAACCGTGCTCTACAATCTGTGATGCATGGTTTTTCATTTCACTTTTGGGAAAATTAGCGCGACGTTTTACAAGATTTTTGAGTGATATTTCTGAATATTAGGACATAATCATATTAAAAAAGAATTTCTATAAGTGTTTTTTAAATTGTTCAATTACATTTTCTCGTAGAATCGACTATCCTAAACAAGATTCTATTTGATTGGAAGTTTATTGATTCGATCTCTTTTTAAAAAATTTCGCAACAAGTGAAGGATTGTACCCTTTTTTCACTTTTTTGATGTTCTTCGCGATATGACTTTCAAAGGGAGAGGTTTGAAGAGTCGGTGAACACATGTGCATGTAGCTGACAGTCAGACCATTAAATCTATGTATTATGAGTAGTACTTGTATCGTTTTTTAACAGTGAAATATGAGATCTGAGCGGAAAATCTCAATATTTGTCTACTTTAGAGTCAAATTAGCGACCAAAGCTTAAGTTTTAGATAAATATTGCCAATGTAAAAAATGATCAGCTTGACGAGCTCTACATTCCTGGTATAGTAAAAAAAGCTTTTTGGCAATTTTTGAAAAATCGATATATACCCATTTTGGGGCATGTTCCAGTAGCCATAACTTTGTTATATTTGTTATAAGTACTTTTTAAAAAATATATTTTTTGGAATCAGGAGAATTTTTCCTCTATACCCTGCAATTTCAGACAGTTCTGAGATGTGTCACTTCTCGAAGTCCATGAGTCTTATAGACCATGACTCTTAAATAGATATTTAGAATTCATTTCAAAGTTTTCTTATCGAAAAGTCATCTTTTCAATAAAAAAGAAAAACAGTCTTATAAAAAAATCTAATTAAAAATAAATTTAATTTATGAGAAATTTTTAACTGATATATATGTTAAACAAATTGTTATGATAAAAGTCGATTTTGTCTAAAAATCCAAAATGAATGAAAATGAAAACTGACAAGAAAGAAGATAATTTGATTTGATGTAATTCTTTCATTAATTTTGAATATTCAATGAACAGGAATGAATAAGTGCTGAGATGTGTCACTGAATAGAACGTTTTTGTCAATGATCAAACATAATACAAAGAAAAAGTGGTAATCATTGAAAAGCCTATCCATTATAAATGTATTATTCTTTCTTGAAAACTTCTGTATATTATATTTTTTAGTCATTCATCTGCCCATATGTTTATCATATGTATTTTGCTTCGTTGAAGATCATCGAATATTCTATATTGATTAGACATTGTCTTAGACTATGATCAATCGAATACAACAATATTATTAAACTTTGCCTTTTATCCAATCATTTTATATATTGACATTGATCAATCGAAATTACTTTTAAATGAAACTTTTTTATATTAATATTAAGCTTTTCTTTTTCTTATCAAGTCCAAGTGTCATTCTCAATAGTCAAACATAGATTAAATCATTTCTATTCTTTATTGTAAAGCAAAACAAACAAGAAAAAAAAACTGTCAAATGACATTGACTTTAAAATAAACGGTCAAAAAGAATGATTTGATTGTGAATATGTACAACGTTTTGAACAAGATTGAAATAATTTCAAATAAGCACGTCGATATTTTATTTTATGTAAATGGATAAAGAAATGGATTACATGTTGAATTTAACCATAAAAGTCAAAATGATATTTCAAAAATAGTTCCAGATATATTTGCATCAGTTGTTAAAGCTATTTCATAAATAATATATGGAAATAAAAATATAAGACAACAAAATAAGAATAAATAAAAAACGTACTGCTTTACGATTTCGAACAATTCTTGAATCGCATTGACTATATTTTTAAATTTATTATTATTTAAATGATTTGGTGAACTTAATCGATTTATTATCGGTCTTGATACTTCAATTTAAATTTTAATTCGATATTTAATAAATAAATCACTAGAATAATTATGTGAGTGAGAAAAACAAACACTTGCACATTTTCTTGATAAGTATACCATTGATGATGATTCACGAGTTTCTTTTAACTCTTTATTATTTCTATAACGACAATGGTTTACAAATGACTTTTTACTGAAATCAAAGTAATAAAAAAAAAAAATGAAACAATAAACATACATAGTAGAAAATTTTTTGAATAACTGATGATAAATATGTAATTGTATCTTGACAATTGTTTGATGATTTATTATTTTAATTAAATAAATCTGGAAGATTTTCATTTGAAGAAAATAATTGAACAAGGTTAAATTGATCAAAATTTTCATTTTCTTCTCCAGCTATTTTTGATGGGCAACGTTCAATTGAATTTATTTTATTTTTAGATAATGTTGATCATCTTCCGTATCTTTGCCAGTGACTAATGATGATGAATCAATATTTCGTTCTTTCTTTTTTACTCATTGACCAGACGACATAAAATGATTCATTCTTCGACTTCATTTCCATATATTTCACATTATTAACATGTGCAGCATACATAAAGTAATTGAATTGTGCTATTAAAATGTATGCAAATCAATGTATAACCAAGTACCCGGAGCAAAATTAACAAAAAAAAGAATTCTTTTATTAATTTTCTTCTAATAATAAGTTCTTACTATAAAAGAAAGACACCATAGAACTCCCATCACTAAATAGACAAAATGTTGTTCATCTATTTTTGATAAGAGATAGAATAAGAGATTCTTCAAATATTTCGTTATTATTGATTAAATCCTCGAAAAAATAGCTTACAAATCAGATTAAATTCAATGTATTCATCATTTCTAATTTTGACGTTGAAAAAATTTTAGCTCATTAAAGAAATTAATCATAAATATTGCAAATATCCACATCTCGTATATAGGATTTTTCCAACATGATGTATGGGAATTTTTGGCGCGTGTCAAATTATGTCATATATCAGATTTTTCAAACCTACTCATGTATAGATATATATGTAAATACGCATTCGTTCTAGTCTATTGGGGATTGGGGTATCAGATATTACATTCTTTATCTTATTCTCTAATCAATCTTCTTGTATATCCTCTTTTTCTTTTATTCTTTTATTTGTCATCATAACCAAAATATCACTAATGAACTGAACACACGTACATTAATATTTATAAAGGGTACCCACTTTTTTTTTGTAGCTATTGTATGGTTTAAAGTACTGTCGTCTATCGACTGAGTACATTTTGGAATCCGAAAGTTTTCTGTAAACATTAGCAAATCAAATTTATGTGACGAAAATAGTGGATCACGTTTTTCTCCACGTGACTTTTTCATGAAAACAAAAGTGTAAAAACACTTCTGTGTCAAGAGGTATTGTTGTGTTGACTTTTGGTAGCTCTTACATAAGCAAAATTATATTTAAAAAAACATGGGTTTTTAAGGGTACTTTCGATATTTTCGCTTGTTTATTCGAAAAACACGACAAATAAAAAGATATTCATCCCAAACAGTGTCTAGCGCTTGTAAAAAATTTTCAGCCCTATTGAATATATAGCATGTCAGAGAAATGAGGATAAAAACTTCAACCATTGTGTTCTCAATAGCTCATAGAAGACAGCATAAAGAAACTTTGAGTCTATAACAAATTTTGCTCTACTAGTCAAGATCTATCTGCTCTGATAGTTTCAAAATTTTCTGATCAACTATTGTCAAGAAACTTCGAAAAGAAGAAGATATTATTAAAGAAAACCATAGATTAATTGAGAAATTCATATCTTATCAATGTTATTTCTAAAGATGATGCAATTTTATACATGAAATAGTCTAATGGATACCTTCATGTATCCAAAGTTTCAGTTTGAAATAATTTTCTTTTCGAAAACTTCACTCCTACAGTAAGAATCTACTAAAAAGTTGCTATCTTGATTAAGTCTAATCATGAGTAGCAGACTTTTGAAGATACATACTACCCTAGTGATCTCCTGCATACTGTAAAATATGGTGGTAAACAGAGTGAATCATTTGAAAGTCTTTCATCGTAAGTGTAAGAACATTTTTTTTTTCAGTCGATACATTTTACTATATCGTCATGTGCCAAGTTTATCTTACTGACATAGATTCATGGTTAAAGAAAGTAACATAACATATCACACGTCATCAATGATGATAATTATTTTTTATAGTATCAGCTAAGATAATTTCTATTTATTTATTATCTCCTTTTATCAAGTTACTTTCCTAAATAAATAAACATTTAATAAATATTTTCTTCTTAAATCTCATTTCATCATATGTACATTGAAAACTATTTTCAACGACATCTATCATGGCTACCTGAGGTTCCTCCTTTGCTATTCTTCACATACCGATTGATAGTGGCGTCAAAAGAACATTCTCTTGTTTTGTGCGAATCAAATTTCACTATCGATATTTGTTTTTGTTTTTTTTAGAAGTCTTCACATTTGTATGATTAACTTACCTGTTAAGTGGAATAAGAAAAACATATTACATTGATCGCATTGTTTGTTTAATAGAAGATCTTGACATAATTACTCTAAAATGATCAGACCATCAACAAATCGTTCAGCTAACAGGTATGTAAACTATTAAAACATAGTGAAAAAAAAGAAAACTATAGAGAACTACTACATCTGTAGAATTGGTAGTGGACTAAGAAATTCTTCTGCTACTTCTCATCATTGTAGATCAATGCCGACTATCTTTAAAAGAAATAGGCAATCAGCAAAAAAACAACTTTCATTAATTTTAAATAATGCAGATTTTGAAATGTGGTACGTTTAAATGTTAATTCAATGATTTGCTCGTTCGCTATCGTCGTTTTATGTTTCTGTTTCTGTTTTTGTTTTGTTTGGTTTTGTATATTATTTATGTCAGTTTAAGTACTTTTTCCTTTTTTGTTTTATCTAGTCAAGCACCAAATGAAAATGAAATGCTTGAAATTACGCAAAATTCAAAGACTGAAGGAAGTAATAATACAAATCAATCAGAAACATCGACATTCGATAATACTCTTACTGATCAACATGAACAAGTAAAATTAAAAAAGAAAAACAAAACCTTTTTCTTTAGTTGTTCTTGTTATTTTTTGTCTTCAAAGGTGAATAATAATTCTCCAACAACAGTTCAGAAAAAATTTTCAATCTCTCAAATTAAAACTCGATTGGCGCCATATAGACAAGACACGCCAAAGAAACATGAAAATGAAATTGAAAAGAATCAAGGTTTTCTATTAATTAATCAAGGTGGTGAAGATTTTATTTTTATAGACAATGATAACAGTGATCAACAACATACACGTCATTCTGAACCATGTGAACATGGACGAATCGATGAAGATAATGTTGATATGAGTCAAGCTCAATTGGTACCAACTACACCGGTTACACCTAATTTAGTACCACCACAACAATCAGAATTAGCTTTTGCTATATCACCTGTCGTTAGTCGTAAGTAAAATTGATCTTAACTATACTCATGTGATCTAAACTTCAGGCTAAGGAATAGTTTCGTTTAATCATTTCTCATGAAAAGAATTTTATTATTTGACTACCAATACCTAGATATTTGCTAGAACACACGATAGATTATAATCTGATATAATATTACTTATAGAGCACGACATTGAATTTAGGAAAAGTTTGACAGGTGCAAAAAAAATTTGTGTCATAAACTTTTAAAATTTATCTAATGACGGGCATACGTTTAGAGTAGTTGCATTTTTCAGGTTTTCTTCGCGATGATAAAAATTAACATGAATCTGAAAAAAAAATTACGTAATTAAAAGAATTTTCTCTTAGGATTGATAGACTCGAAGACTACAACAAAACTGCTTGGATGAGGGTTTGCTGAAAACCACGACGTCCAAAGCCAGATTTCTCACTTCCATTCGAAACTTTTTGGAAAAGATTTTAATTAATAGAGGAAATAATTCTGAACAAAATTATACATATCTGACCTTTTCATGACCTTCGGTCATCGACTTGAATTTAATTTACAGAAGGTTCAAGAAACATTTTTCTCTTCTTCTTATTGACCATTTCAATGTTTTTTCCCATGTTTAACGTTATGAAGCCTTCTATAAATTAAATGCAGTTCGATAAAGAAAGGTTATAGAGAGGTATCATATTGGTCAAAATCACTTGCTCTATAAAATAAAATCTTTTTCCAAAAGCTTCGAGTGAAAATCAGAAATCTTGTGTTGGAGGTCTTAATTTTCCGTCAACTCTCATCCAAGCAGTTTTCCTCAAGTCTTCAACTTACCAATCCTAATAGAAAATCCTCTCAGTTCCGCAAATGTTTTTTCAGATTCTAGCTGGCTATTACCATTGAGAAGAAAACTTGAAAGTACACCTGCTCTAAATTTTTGTCCACTAGTATAAATTTGACATAGATGACAATGGATTTATACAGAAAAGCAATATCTTTAATGTCTATCAATTTCAGCGGTATTTTACTCAGTATGAGGTTCAAGAGGACAGTGTTTCTCCGACCATCAGGCTCATTCTTTCAGAGTTTTAAATTGACTCTCTGGAAAAGAAAAATCTGAATAAAACACTGAAGTTTAGAAGTATTGTTCCAGATATTTGTGTTTATTAAAATTTATTCAATGTTATTTTCTTCTTCTATATTAATATCAACATCTTTTTTTTTTGTCAACTTGTCCGTAATTCTTTGCATTCTTAATAAGATGTATAGGCTCCTTTGAAAAATGACTTCTAGCTATAAACTAATCTAGAATCTATGAGAAAGCATATTTCCTCTTTCTCACCATCTTATCTGATAGTCGTCATGTTAAACATTATCACTAGTTAACATTCAGTTTTTAAATCAATATCCCTTTCTTTTATGTCGGCACGAATAAGAAAATTTAAGTGCACCGTTATTGGCAAACGATAAGTAAATATTCAAACAAAAAAATGTAAGATATGCATCACAGCGATATAATAAATATCACGATAAGACATGTCACGAATATAGAATATAATTCATCAGTCGTATTTGTTAATAGCTGTCACCTTTTTAAAAGTGTTACTTATGTTGGATAATGACCTCTATATGATCATAGTTTGAGTACATAATAAATATCTTTTATTCCATGCAAAAAAAAAAAAAAATTTCAAATCAAAGAACTATAGCTGTTTATCTGCTAAACATCGAACACTAGTTTTCAGTTAGAAATTATTTAAGCCTATTTTCTTTCGAGAAATGACTTTCGAATAGGTAAAGCAGTTTAAAATGTAAATATTATCTTGTGAAAAATTTGAACAATGTGATCTCATTAAAAGATCACTTTTAGTAAATACACATTCAACTAGTACTGATATAACAGAGGAACATATATATCATTTCCTAAGAAATCTATTAAGAGATTGATATGAATTTCTCATTAAATTTTCTTCCTGTAGAAAGCCATTAGTTTCTATTTGAATTTAATATTGGTGTGAAATTATCAACTTCCACTTTTTCTGAATGAGTGACTTGGATTCGTCCAGATCTGTTCTTTGGTTTCTCTATTTTATCAAAAAAGTTCTTCACAAAATTATGCAAAAACATTTTCCTCTGAAAATTCATTGTGTCAATCACTATGGGTTGTAAGACACCGTAATAGCATCTTTTGTCGGTTCCTTTTATCATCGAATATTGAAAGAAAATACTATGCCTATCAGGCATATTGAGTAATACGATGCATATATTGTACTTCCTTTCACGTACATGAGTCAGTCGCATAAATTTCCGTGATTTGGCGTGATCCGTAATTTGTGTACTGCTTTTCTGGTCAAATGATCTTTACTACATGCAACCAGAAAAATGAGCACTCGGCGCTATTAAAATAAAAAACCTAATATGAACTCAACCAGACGTCTGTCAAATTATAGAAAAAAAGGATACATAGTTCATGGAAAACAATACTATTAGAAAACAGTTTATTTCAAGGTCTTTAGTTCATAAAACTTCACGATTAATTTCTCGACTAACATATTCTATAGAGTTTGTATAAAATTGAACGGCGATTTTCATGATAATTTAGATACATATAATGAACTGGATGTTCAAGCAACACGAGCTGGTGTTGAATGTGCCACACCTTGTTATGATGAATCCAATATACCTGATGATACACAATTATCAGCAACAAATTCATCTTCATCAACAGATTCATCATATAATGATGCACAATCGATTGAGATTGATCTATCGACACTTGATGATAATGATTATAGTAATTAAATCTATATAGAATTTATAAATTTGATTAATTAAAGAAAAATAATTATTTCCTTTTGTTTAGTTCTAAGACAGACAAGTGCTCTTGAACAAATAACAGTTTATGAAATAACCGTAAACAATGATCGTCGTGATTATCAACAAAGTGTAGCCCAAAATGAAAGCGTAAGCTAATAAATATATACATATAAACTGCCTCATAATAACTGACGATAAATTTTCCACATACTTTTTCTTGATGTAGAAGACTGAAATTTTTATCACATATATCTAATCAAGATCTTTAATTTTTCAAAGTTTCAGTTCTATAGCTAAAACTAATGTTAAAATACATCGATAGAATTAAAGTACATAAGTTTTCGTATGTTATTTTTTGTGACATGTTTATTTTTCAACCACTGATGTTTATAAAATATCACTGGTTGAAAAGAAACTTGAAGACAAATTTTTTCGAAAATGTAAATTAAAAGTACTCTTCATTGTTTTCTATGACCCATTGTTACTAATAAGGTAATTCATCTACCGCTTTACTCACTTTTCGTTCGGTACACTCCACGCATTTTCAGCTCTTGATACATAAGAAAATTTTGAGATGATTGAAATTCAATGTAAATCATTTACAATCTTTTCTATTTTCGAAACTGCTGGACATTTAGGATATAAATGCATTTTTATATAGTTAAAACAATCCTTAGCCCTCTCTCTCTCTAAGGATTTGCAAGTATGGATATATAAAGTAAATCGGTAAGCATCTATCCAATACAGTTAGTGAACACAGAGATGGAACCAGTACCGGTAGATCGCCTGGAAACTACACACTGGTATGCCTCTCTATCGTGATTGATTACATCGTAAAATCCAGTATTACATAACTCTAATTATATGTATTAATTTAGGATGAATTCGATATTAATGTTAGTTATAATGAGGCAGTGATAAAAAATGCCAAACTTAAAGAAGAATTAAGAAGATTAGAAGGTAAATTATGTTTATTTTTACTTTATTCTTCTTATCATAAATGAATCTGTTTTTACAACTTACAGAAGAACAAGATCGAATTTATTCACCATGGTCATGTGATGTTTGTACATATATTAATGAACCATTTATTAAAACACGTAAAGATGTATGTGAAATGTGTGAAGGACCAAGCCCATTAAAACGACGTAAGAAAATCTTTATAGATATTTTTTCTTTTCTCTATTTAATTTATATTTTATTCTAGATACATTAACGAATTGATTAAAATAGACAACTTTTGTATAAATTATTCTTTCCATATTAATCTGTTTTGTGATTGATTTTATTTAAACAAGTTGATAAACTCTTCTCTTATTTTCCTTTTTTTTTTTTGTTTTTCTCTTTTTATTTGGTCAAAATATATTTATATGAAAAGTTTTTGTGATAACCGTACTTATTGCGTTTATTTCTATCGTACTCTCGATCTTATCTCTTTGTTTTAACAATAATTCTCTTCTTCTTTTTTTCAACAAGAAATTGAATATGTTAGCTTTTTCTTTTCCTGAAACTTTTAGATTATAGTTTTTAATATAAATTATGTCATCAGCATCAACAGATAATACAAATAATTCAACTAGTAATGATTTGCTAAAACATAATTCATCAGATATGGCTCAAAAAGATGCTTATAAAGCTTCAAACACTTCACAAGATAATGCAGATGATTTTTACTCAAATAATGAAATTCCAATGAATTTATTACCAGCTGGTAACTCATAGAATTTTAATTTTAATTTTTTTGAATCTAATAAAAAATTTTATTTGAGTCTTGAGATTTTACAAATAATGATTAAAGAAAAGGTATTTCTTTCTATTTGATTCACTTCTTTTGATGAAGTTTAGTTTCTAAAGAAATGCATAAACGACATGGTTGTTTTTATATGTCATTATAAGAATATTTTCCAGGCATACAAGCTTATTCATAAAAGGCTTGAAAGAAAAACATCTTGTGGTTATTGCATCCTACAGTATGAAATGAGTCTTTTTTTCTATCCTGCCAATTTATTTACTTAAGAAAGTTACAAAACTGTTTAAGGTAATCGTTGTTTTTATGTAAATTAAGAATGCATGACTGCGCATATAAGCAATAAATTAAGAATTTAAAGATTAAATATGCCATTTCCTACACAATTAAGATGCTTTAAGATCAACATAAATGCACATGCTGTCACTTTCTTTATATTTCACCTTTCTTTCACTACCCATCGAAAGTCGTTTATTGCAAGTTAAAGAGATTGATCATATTTGAGTCAAATAAATACTGTCACTGTCAAACTAACTGATTTCATATGTGAGTTGCACATAGCATACGCGAGGTGAGATATTTGAATTTCGACGTTTCATGCATCCATACTTCAAAATTGCAGCAGCATTTACTTTTCTTTTTTCGTCTTGGTTGAATAGCGCTAGATGAGCTACATAAGAAAAAAATAAAATCACGCACAGTGAAAGCGACTTTTACGAAAAAGTCCGACACACTATTTTTGTTAAATATAAGGGTGATTAATACAAAATTTTGACTTGTGAAGTTGCTTTTGGATATGTACTAATTTATTTATTTTTTCTCAGGTAATTTATCGAGCGCTATTCAAGCATGACGAGAAAATGAAAACTAACGATGCTGTAATGTCGAAGGTGTAAACACAGAATATAGACTGTTAACACAGTGATCGACGAAATTTTTCGTACAATTTTGTTTTAAGTGTAACTCCATTGCAAATCTATCTTTTGACAAATGGTTTTTGCTAACACAGCAGCAATTGTCTGTGGTATTGTACGTTTTTCAAATCAAATTATTTTTCTTTGAGAATGTTTAGAAAAAAAAACAGACTTCATATGGATGCATAGAAGAAAACATGGACTACAATTTGGAAATTGAAACTTTTCAAAAGTAAATTTTCTATTATGCAACTTGTTTATTTTACGGTGGATATGAAATGATATATATGTCAAATCTCTATTGCCGTGTTTACGTGAAGAATTTTTATTTTTACTGTGACATAAAATCATTGGGACAACGTTCCTGAATACAATTTTCGAAAATTATCACTAGTTTAAGAACGTTGTCCAAATGGTTTAATATCGTAATTCAAAAATATATCTTCACATAAATACGTAGATAGAGAGTTTTACACGCGTATCATGCCTATTTGCCGAAAAATAGATAATTTACTTCGTAAGAAGTTTATCTTCGAAAAGCTTTAATTGTCAAAATGTAGTCCGTGCTTTTCTTGTGTTCATCCATATGGATTCGTTTTTTTTCTTGACATTTTCAGAGAAAATTAATTTCATTTAAAAATCGTAAGAAACATTTTTTCCCCTACTGTACGTTGAAATTCAAATATCTTGGTCTGTACATAGTATGAACAGCTCATATTTCAAACTAGTCACTTTAGCAGTAACAGCCTTCACTTGACTCTAATATGATCAATCTCCTTAAGTTACAGTACACGACCTGTGTCTCTATGTTCATGTATGCTTTTGTATTTTTTGTTGTTATTTTCATGACAATAGAGAATTCGAGGTTTACGGCTTAAATGCATGTAAACCAAGGGGCAAACGGCGAATTTCGGATTTTTTGGGATTTTTTGGAATTTTTGGGATTTTTTTGGATTTTGATAATCCCAAAATCCAACACCAATATCCTGTTGAAGATACAGAAATCTCGAGCTGACACTTTGTCCATATGTAGGCTTCGTGGTTCTTAAAATATTCTAGAAGTTTCAGCGCCAACGGATGTTATCTTCTGGAGATAATGCGATCGGAGGAAATACTCATATTTCACATCTTGGTCAGAAAATCCACTTTTATTGGACGTTGATTATCTTGAGAAGGAAACATCCGTTTGCATTGAAACTTTCAGGATATTTTAAGGATCAAAAGCTCTACATATGCTGGAAACTTTAGCTCGAAATTCTTTCATTTATAAGAGGACANACATATTATTGCCAAGTGGAAAACATGAAGACTTAGGAGTACTGAAATCTTGCATTTTCCTTCTTGATTATTTTACTTCTCAGATGTTAAAATGCGAACATTAAGTCCTAAATAAAAAATTGATATATTAGAAAAAAAATTAGAAAAGAAATGCAATAGTTACTTACCTATTGTTTGATTGGTAACAGCTTGAACAATACCAGTAGGTAGAACAAAAATACATGCCATTGCAACCGCAACTAAAATACACATTTAAAAAAATTAAAAGAAAGAAAATGAAATCAAAGAGATTATTTTCATAGAATTGCTAAATAGAAGAAAATATTTTGGTTTTAAATGAAACAAAGACCAATGCACTTCATTTTTGCTATTGTTATGATAATAAAGCCATACCAAAATCTATCTTAGAAGAAATTTATAGTTTTCTACAGACAGAAAATCTAATCAGTGATATTATTTTCTGAAAACAAAAATTCATATCAATCTTTTAATAAACCTTTTAGAAACATCATGTTTTCCTGCTACATAAGCATCAATTGAGCTTATGGTTTTTTCAATCGATATTTTAACGAGATCGGATCGTTCAAATTTTTTAAAAGTTAATGTTCGCATTTTAACATCTGAGAAGTAAAATAATCAAGAAGGAAAATGCAAGATTTCAGTACTCCTAAGTCTTCATGTTTTCCACTTGGCAATAATATGTTAGTATAAACATGAATAAGTTTTTTTTTCTGATACACAATTTTAAGGTTAGGTTTTTTTTTACCAAAAATTGATGTTTTCTTACTGTTCTGTGGAACTGTATAAAAGAGAAAGATTGATTTCACTGTTGTTACTTTATTGATATAGCTATAGCAGTTGCGCTATTATATTTTATGTAAGATTGTTCTAACATTTTGATTTTTGTGCATAAAAACTAGGAACAAGATATCATGTCATGAGATGCTTGTTGTTAAAATTTTTTTATAAAAATTAACAGAAAACGAAAAAATGGCAAAAACAACTTGACTCGGAAAGTGGTTTGACTCGCTCAGTCCCAGGAAAAAAAATGTTACTTTCAATAAAAATTCTAGAATCAGTCTTCAATGAAATAACTGATATTATTCGCAGACATATATTTCATTTGAATTCTATTTCAGTCAAGCTATCGATCAATTGACATCGGTAATGATGTGACTTAATGTCAGCTATTTATTATTCGCCCTTTAGTATTCGATACAAAATACTTCTGCAAAGCTCAAAGTCATAAGCAATAACTAGTCTCTACGAAAATTTCGCAACAATACAGAGTAATCGAACATCATTTCTCATTCATGCAGTGCTTTGTTCAACTTTTCTCTGTCGAAGGAAAAGGTTTCAAACTTCGGACTGACGAATACCTATTTTTGGGAGTACAGAAATATAATGCACGCTAAAATAATCACAAAACCCGGAAGGAATAATCTGATTTTCAGAGAGGTGCTACTTCCACACTGGATAAAACATTACATTCACCACTGGTAAATTATTTGTATTTTATTCGAAATATCTCTAAATTTTATTCAACTTACGAAATAGATAATACCATGGCATTAATTGACCAAAATGGCAAACAATAACAGCAAGACTAAATGCTACCATAAACAAAATGGTATACCTAAACAAAAACCATAATTCATCTTTTTTTTATAAATAATTTCTATACATACCACCATTCTGGTGCCTCACGATAACGAGACATAAGCACAGCATGAATGTCATTATGATTGTCTTTTAGAGATGATCGAAATTGTTTCATTATTGTTTTACCTTTGTATCATCAGAAATGTTTAGTTGCTTGCAAAATAAAACAAATGTTAACTTACCATGATACAATATGGTATGAACAATAACTGCTGATATTGCAGCAAATGATATAAAATAGGAAAAAGCAAAAACAGCTGGCATTCGAAGTTCACCTTATACGATAATTATACATAATAAAAATTATCAGATTGCATAATCTCTAGAAATCAACATACCATAGATTTTATAAGCAGTTTCATTGAGACGCATTTCTGAATTGAGTACAGCCGAAACGTTATAAAAATAGCCATCTGCAGTAAAAACACGACTACTAACAATTGGCATTGCTTTTGAACCCCATATATTAGTATAATATGCCATAGGTGCTATTATCCATGCTAATAGAACAAAACCCATCAATATATTTATTTGAGCCCTATATAAACATAAACAAGAATGAAATTTATGTATGAAAAACAAAACGAGTTTATTCAATGATTTCACTTTCCAGAATGGAACAATTATTGGTGAACCAAGAAATGCAACCCATGCATTCCAATCAAATTCTATTGAACCTATGCCAAGTCCATTAACTCCAGTAAGTTGTGAAAGAACAACATTATCTGGTTTAATCATACATATCCAAGAGAAAAGTGAAAGAACAGGAAATATATAACCAGGAAACCAATACCATAAGAATTGACAAAGTGATGCTACGAAAAAAAATCGAAGACGTGACATTTTCCAATGTGACTCTTTATTTGCTTCTTCTTTGCTATCAGTATCTTTATCATCATGTAAAGTTCGAAAAAGAGCACAATTTACAAGATTAGTTGGCCATACCATAGCTGCTGGCCAAACAAGAAATTTTCGCATAATACCAGCTATTCCATAACCTAGGACTTGTGATGTAATCACAAACATAATACCAATTATTGGATGAAGTAGTCGTTTATAAAATAAGCGTAACGTTGTAATAACATCAATAGCATATGCTGTACTCTATAGAATATGAATTATGTTGTCTATTTTTTTTTTTTATTGTATATTAAAAAGAAACTTACACATGTTGCATTAGCCATTGCCGTTATAATACAATGTTCTTTAATAGTAAAGGGACCTGGATTAAGAGTAAAACTCCATCGAAAAATTTTAAATTTTCGATTTGGTAATATTTTAGCCATTCCTTTACCTAATGGATATGTTAATAATTGAGCAACAAGAGTACCAACAAAAAGTGGTGATGTTCGATACCAAAAAAATTGATTTACAAACGAAAGAAGACATGTAAATAAAAGACCAAGAAACCATGATCGAAATGTTAAAACTAATATAGAAGGATCATCTTTACTTGAAACAGTTGTTTCTACTTCTTCATCGAGTATTTGTTCATTGTTATTAGTAGTAAATGGTTGTGTTGAAACTATAGGATCTTGTTGATCATCAATATGAACTGTTGAACTTTCTTTACTAAATGTAACATGTATATTATCTCTATCAGATTCAATACTTGGAAATTGTTCTAAATCAATATCAATATTATCTCCATCATCTTCTGCAAAAGCTAAATTGTCTTCACTATATTTCGCTTGATTTTTTGTACATTTTTTATGTTTTGGATTAATCTGATAATTGGGTGTAATAAATCGTAAACGATTGGTCGTCATGTTCGATATCAATTAATCATTTACACGTAAAATGTGAAACAATACCAGTTATTTTCTATTTTTCTTATTGATAATAAGAATGATTTTCCTTAACAAAAAAAAAAATATTCACATAATAACCTTAATGCTATGTATATCGGAAGTAAGCTTGAGTTATAACGACGTGAGAATAAGGAAAGAAGCAAAAAAAAACAAATAAATACGTAATAGAGAAACGAGAGAATAAATTATTTTGAAGGAACAAGAACGAGCCAGGAAGTCTACCACTATTAAAAATAGATAAGCGATTCTAAATACAACAAAACATGATCACACAGACGATGTTAATCACTAAGATACACGTTATCATGTTTTTAATAGTAATACTTATTCCGTAAGAATAAAAATAAAACATGTAGAAAGCGAGAAGAAAATGCATCCAAAATGTTTCTAAATCATTATATCATGGCCATGAAAACCTATTGATATTGAATGACAAATATCAATAAGAAAAAACGTCATCCATGAATAGATATAAATAGTAGTAAACGAATCATATAAAGTGTTTGGAATTAGTCGATTTAACTACCATAATATATATATATAAATTTTTTAAAATTCACATGAAATAATATTAATAAGATTTTAATAAATTTTCTTTTTCTATTTTATAGGAATACTAATCTCTTTTTATTTAATTTAGATTTTTCCTTATTTAATGTTGTGTATATTGTGTGTTAACTCATCTGTAAAGAGTCGGATAAGTAATGCAAACGAAAATGGCCACGTTGTTTTTGTTTTATAATGTATGATTCATTTATTGCTGTTTATTTGCAATACAAAAGTCGTATTGCGAAAACAATATTCCTTTTCAAGATAACAAAAAAACGCATCATGATCATTGACGTAAATCAGAAATTGCATTGTTTAGAAATATTGAGTGCTTGAATCACAACATACCTGCTAAATACCGCATGCAACTATATGGCGCATATGTAAACTTGAATACCATAGAACGAGGAAAAAAGAACGAGTAAAGAAAATTCTGCCATCGAGCAAATGAGAGTGTCAAAAAAAATAACGAAGACGTGGGTGTAGATGAGAATTGGCAATGCTAACAGAAAAAGAAAAAAAGCAAAAGAAAGAAAAAAAAACGATTTAGTAGTATAATCATCACCGTAGAAGTCTTAGCATCATAATATACTATCGGATTCAAATTATTCTATGTTTCACTAGCAATGACATTCAAATATTGTCAGCTATTAGAAAATAATTCAATACAGTTATCACATCTATATATCTACAAATTTTTCTATGCATATTTTTCGTAAAATGCTTATTAATCATCATCATTTTTGTAGGCTATTTGTGATGAACAGTTATATTTTCCTGATGTATTCATTATTTTGACGTACATTTTACTTCTTATCACTCGTACTTAAGAAAAAGAAATAGCTAATCATTTCGAATGCTCGAAATTTTATCCAAGTATTCTCTGATAATAACTAAATTTATTATGACGTGACATGTTTACTAAAGTTCGTGTGATTGACGGTTATTCACAAAATATTCTCAATTCATGGATGTATCAAATAATATTACTAGACAAGAGAACCTTACAAATGAGTTCTAAAAATCATTAATAAAGTCTTCTAATGTAATAATAATTTCTTTACTAATCTAAAAAAATGTAATTAATTAAGACATTTATGAAAATCTCACACGCTAATATTTGGTAGTTTGACCTTTGTTTGTATTGACTTTTTACAAACCATACATCTTTTAATAGGAATTCTTTTCAATAAAATAATAGATCATTTTAATAAAGTTTAAAGAAACATCAGTTATCCAAGGAGTTATGTTTGGGTAGATATTCCTGCATGAATTGTCGCTGTCATAGCCGAGTAAATGAGAGCTCGCTTCATTGATAAAAATACCGAATTAGAGCGAAAATTGCATAAGCACCTCAACTGCTTTGAATTTTATTCTGTACTCACGGCTCAGGTGATTCAGTATACCAATAATCAAGTAATGTTCTCTATCTATGCCATAAACTATCTTGACTTGATATGGTGAAGCTTCGTCACTGAAACTTCGATATGCTTTGCTTTTTTCACTTGGCTATTAGCTATTTATGATCCGATGACCGATTGAGGCCTGACTGCTTTTACTACACTGCGTTAAAACATGTATATTGCTGCATTTGCTAGAAGAATTTTTTTCTTTGCTTCTATCAATGATGAATTGTCACTTGATGATTATCTCCTACTAGAACAAATGTCATTGAGCACTCACAGATATTTATGGCAAGAAGGTTGAACATGATTTCGTTGTTTGCGCCGATCAAAACATTTTGTTTCACATACCGGTATGTTTAATATAGACATAATAATGAATGCCATTTCATGACATGACAGATTCTATTGTAAGGCTCGATAAAAGAGATTCTTGGTGTTTCATAGAGTACCAAGAAAAATTCTAACCTATTTTTGTTTGTTCGTTCTTTTTCTACCTTTGTCTTGTTTTTTTCCTTTGCTATTTTTACATCGTCTCTTTTCTTTCCTACCAATTTGCACAACTAAAATAACGTCCTTTTAAGATCGCAATGATCAAAGGATAATCAAAAGACTTTGGAAAAATAAAAAAAAATTCAATATGAACGGAGTGAGGGATTTTCAGTTTAGAAAAATTTTCTAGTTCGTATGGCTTTGTTTATTTGTATGTAATTTGATAGAACATGGCAAGATGGTCACAAATGTATAGTTTTTATTTCGATTCAATTATTATCACGCTTTATGAAAACATTTTATGCTGATTTAGCATCAATAACTGAGTAGAAAAATGTTACTTGATCAAATTTCGAAGTAGTAAGGTTACAAAATTCTGTTTGATATAGATAGCTCCAGCATGCTTCATAGCACCTATTTGTTCATATTTTTGTAAACCGACCTAGGTTTTTTTGTAATAAGAGATAGAAACAAGTGTCTTACTCTATTGGAATCATCAAATATCAGCCTACAAAAGTATCAATTTATTTTTTTTTTACATTCCTTTTTATTGTTGAGAAAGATAGGTTTACAAGAAAACACAAAATAGATTCTATAAAGCCTATTGAAGCCATTTATACTGGATCTCGGAATCTAATCAAATAACATTTATCTACTCAGTTTTTGATGCTGATTCAGAATAAAATGTTTTTATGAAAATTAGAAAAACTGACGTAATTGAAATTTGATGCTTTTTTGGAAAAAACACGTAAATTCATAATTACTAACGCTACAATATCGGTCATTCGAGCTTTTTTTTCAGCCAAACAATGGTTGAACCGAAATAAAAACTATATACATGTGAGCCGACAAAAAATTCACTCGAATTTTGTATCACCAGTACTTTATATCTTTCAAAGAAAATGTTGACATCATACCAAATATTTCTAATGAACGTATTGCTTCATATATGGCATTTAAATCGAAGTCTGTGGTAATTGAAAAGAACATTTTTTTGTAACCATTTCTCAGCTAATATAAAGAAGCATTTTTTATTTTTCAACTATGAAAAAACAACGAAACTGCTGATATTTCTTTTTCAATTGTTCTTGCTTACAGAACTAAATAAAAAATGTTAAACGCTTTTTCTTTGTTATTATTCGTTCTATTTGCATACATAATCAAGAAGAAGAAATTCAAACTTCTTTACATTTTCTCATTGTTTATTTAATTGTCTACAAAAGCAGATTGATCGAAATAGATAATGTCATGCATTTTAGGATACAATCTTCATTCTATCAACAAAATCACCATGTTCTACATGTTTCAATTTTCTCGTAAAATTGAAGGTTTGTTTTTTAATAAGAATCCTAAGCAGTCCACAGTAAGTGCAGAATTTCTGGAGTATGAGTACTGCTAGAGTCGTACTCGAAGAATATGCAACTCAAAACTAATTTTATATTGTCCTCGATATTGTAGAGGAAGCATTTCCCCGTCATATATCGATTTTATTTGATCCTGTCGCCCACTCTTGTAACTTTAGTACGAATTCAGTGGGCAGCTGATCTGCTTTTTTTACCAATACTCAGAAAAAATCTTTAATTTCTAGACAGATAGACGTATTGATGAATATTTTCGGAAATATATATTTTAGTATAGGAGGTTTATTAAGAACAGAAAGTAAAGTTTAAGCTTTGAAGTCGTTGGAAAAATCACTCGCAAGCATCTTAGAAAGAATACAAAGTCAGTAATCATTAGTGTCATGAACGGTTTAAGAAAGGTAAGGTGTGTGTGGATCTTCTCCTCATAAACAGTCGCACCCGAATTAAACTACACCAGTGTCATAATTAGCACATGTGGAAGCAGTTCACATGGTTGACTCATCGTCGACTTTCCTATATGAGTGCTATGACGTAAAAGGTTATGCAAGCTTTAGGATTATAGCATAATAATATTTCATTTATAAGTCGTATCGTATATTCATAAATTCAAGAACGTGATATGTCATGAGAATAACATATATGTCACCATCTTATGTAGAGGTGAACATAGAAAAGTGGTATTACTGTGATAGATGAGATTTCTCTCAGAACGTGTTTTGTTCAGCGTGAGGACTGAGAAATTGATTCGGTCCAATCCGGTTGAACTTTAAAACCGGCAAGTTTTCACTGATTTCTTTTTTATCAATTTTAAGAGCGCTGAAGCTAGTCTATTTTTGCTTATTTTTATCGATTTTCACGATTTTAATGGGCCAGAAATATGATCGTGAAAGTTTCTAACTGACAAATTTCTACTTGTTATCAAAATTTCAGAGCTAAGCTTTTGAACTCAAAGTTAGTTAGTCATTTAAAGTTAAATTCGGTCCAAAGTACAGATTTTTGCACCTTCAGAATTTCGAGTTCACTTTCTGGACTACTTTCAACTGACTGTCAGAAAATCCTAATGGCTAGTAGCTTCCAATTCATTCTTTAGACTCAAAAATATTAGAAAAGATTCTGTTCTATCGAGAAAGTTATACTATTCATTAGTATCATGCAACTGTGAAAATATCTATGCATTAAGAAATCAGTGAAAACTTGCCGGTTTTAGAGTTCAACCGGATTGGACCGAATCAATTTCTCAGTCCTCACGCTGAACAAAACACGTTCTGAGAGAAATCTCATCTAGCACAGTAATACCACTTTTCTATGTTCACCTCTACATAAGATGGTGACATATATGTTATTCTCATGACATATCACGTTCTTNAAATTGTTTTGCCGCAAGCATTTTGCCGACAATTCATTTTGGCGTGTGGGTGCGGGTGTGGATGGGTGTGAGTCTGGGGGTGGGTGTGGGTGTGGTGGGTAGGTGTGAATGTGAGTAAGACTGATACTCATACCCCACATCCACACCCCAAAATGAATTGTCGGTAAAATGCTGTCGGCAAAACAAGTTGTCGGCAAAGTGTACACGTCGGCAAAAAGTGCCTGCCGACAAAACAATTTGTCGGCAAAGTGAATGCAACCCGTACTTTTTCTTATTACAATCATTGGGTATCTAATATTTTTGTAGAAAGTTATAAATGTATATTGATTAACGTATCTTACTGTGCTTTCTTCTTATCCGCAATATTTGTCCACTTTTTGTACTAGTGAATTGTATTGACAAAATAGTAAGGTATTCATTTGACTAAACATTTTTGTTGAAAATACGTTTTATTTAAGTTGAAGAAATTCAATGATATTATATTAAAATAGTACCATATGAAAGAGTACACAGAAAAACATGATTATGATTGTATATTTAATAGATATCTCGTTATTTATTAGTGCAGATTATTGAAATAAAATAAACAAAGGAAAGCTATGATCTTATTGTATTATTAATTATTTAATTAATACTTTCATGAGTTAATAACTGTATTCGAAAGAATAGAATGAATACGGAAAAAAATCATTTGAAATAAGACAAGTAATAGCGAAGCCTTAGCGTGGGCTGAGCTCAATCTTGGCTCCATCATGAAAGACAAGAATATTTTAATTCAATAAAAAAACTTATTGTTATAGTAATAAGTCAGTTTTAAATTCATCTCGTTTTGAAAAAGATTTCTACTGAATTCCCCATATGACTTGAATCGGAATAAAACTGCGGCCACTTCGATATTAAAACGATTGGCTATTCTTTGATCCCTATTCGTACGCAGTACACAGACAATATCAGCTTTCAAGATTGATTTTTTTTCGAGAATTGTTGGACTTTTTCTACAAATCTCGTGATGAGTTATCATAAAACGAAAGAAACTATGCTGAGAGCAAGGAAGACACTTAGAACCAGTGACCAGCCGAGGATAGAGTTCAATAGGTCCAACATATTCAGAGCAGGACCTGACCAGATCGTACGTTGATACTCTCAATGAAATTTTCTAATCCAAATCAGTAAACGCTCCGAAGATACAAGATACTTTTTCCTTTTTTTTGTATTTACAGACTAGAACAATCTACACATTTCTCAGACGACTAGTGCTCATCGGATCCAAACCTTTTGGATCCAGAACCAACCCTGACGGATTCTAGTTAAGATGAAAGGCTGTTTTTTCAGAATTATTTCTCTCTTTCGACGCAATTATAATATATTATATGCTAATAATAGATAAGTCCAGATAAGTCCCAAATGAATAAATCTCGGTAGCCTCCTCACCAATAAGTGTTTTATGTTGAAACATATAACTATAATCGTGAAAATTTCATCATGAATTATTCGAAAGTTTCTTCAAGTTTAAATGAAATTTTTGTTGGAATTACTCATATATTTGTCAAGAATAGGTATACTATTTATATGATACAGAACTATAAATAAATGATAGCAACAATAGTTAATTATAATAATTATCCATTATATCAATAGAATAAGAATGAGTTCATATGTTGGAATGGATGTTGATGTTTTGTATAGAATGCTTGATATTAGAAGTATTAACAAAATGCTTTTATCTTCTTTTTTTTGTGATATTATGATTTGTTTCTGTTTTCTTACTAGATAAATAAAAAACAATGCATAATAACAAACAATATATAGAAAAAATCAACGTAGATAATTTTCAAAAACCAAATATTTACAATAAATTTTTACCATTTTATGAAACTGTTAAACAGCAAAGTTTAGACTCATTTCAAGAAATATGTGAAAATCTTTCACGTATTATTCAATTACGTGAATTACGACCAGGTTTTCCACTTTGGTCATCAAAATTACAACAATTTATTTCACTTTATGGTTTTTGTTTTATTAAAAGTGATCATCTTAAATTAATTAATCTATATCTATCCGTACTTACTATTCCAAATTTAAATTATTCAAATGCAAAAACATGTTTCGATATAATTGATGAACTTTTAAAGTTAATATATTTTTTTCTTCGTATTAAAATAGTAAATTATTTATTTATTATAGTAAGTCTCGTTTGATAACACGAAATGATCTTATTGTCAATTGGCAAATACTTTATACATGGGTAAAACTAATTCTGTTTAATAATGATGAATCCTATTCATTGCTTGCTTTACCTAAGTTTGTAGTTCTTTTTTGTTCTTTTAAAAAATAACATTTTTTTCTATTCAGTGATATTGAAAAATCACTTTTATATTGTGTTCGCAGTTGTCGTCCATATTTTTCGGCGACAGCAACACAAGAAATTCTTGATGAATTTCATCCATGGCTATGCCCATTTGACTCAGCTTTTAGTGATGCTATGTGTTATTTAGATCTTTTCTTGCCAGTTCATTTACCACCGGATTTACATGATCAAGGATTTAAGTATGATTTGGAAGAAAAGAAATTATTAATTTAATAACGATGCTTCGTTTTTTTTATTTAGATTATGGTTACCGGAATTTTTGGGTATTTGGGAAAGTGTTTGTAGTAATCCTGAATGGGAGCAAGTTAGTTATTAAGAGAATCTGAATTATTACTATTAATCAAATTTCTTTTAGAATATGATCAATATATTTTCTTTTGTTGCATGGTGTAATATTGGATATATTGATTGGGAACCTTGGCTACCAAAAGTATAGTTTTGTTAATTATATTATCATATGAAGAATTTTATCTATTAGATTTTTACACGTATACTTAAAAATTTTTCACTTCCGGTTGCCAATGTACAAGTATCATCACAAACACAAAATTATTCTATATCAATTACTGCGACATGGATTGTCGCTATGATGGGCAATGGAAGTTTATGTTTACAATATTTAAGAGATTTATTTACTGCAACTAAAAGTTTTTATCATCCATCAAATACAGGAGACTTTCAACAAGATCTCGTTAGTTTTCTTTCAAAATTAGCACAAGCATTCGTTGATCGTGTTCATTTGTAAGTTAAATTATATTTTAAGTATAGATACTCTGAATATGAATTTATTGTAGAGAACGTAAATCAGATCCTGTATGGCATTTTAATCCACCTGAATCTTATAGAATTACAGAAAATGATATTACAGATTTTGTTAATTGTGTCAAAGAATGTGTATTTATTTCAATTTTTAATAAAGCTCATCTTGAAGAAGCTGCTAAAGCATGTCAATTTTTATCAATGCTTCGACCAGAACTTATTGTTCCACCATTAGTTGAATTGTTTGTTTGAATATTTTTTATTTGTTTTAATAATTATTTGTTTAATTCATTTCTAGGCTCTTTTCTTCTATCAATAGTATGACTGAACCACATCGTTTTACATCTATTGTTACTTGTTTAGCTGATATGGCTCGTCAGATTGTACGTCAAACGCCTGAATTTTCACAAGGTCAAACATATGTTTTACCATTATTAATGGCTGTTCTACCTGGTATTGATTCGAATGATTACAAAAAAACTGCTGTAACATTTCAATTTCTTAATGCTATTCTAATGCTTGTTACATGTGTGGATTGTTCATCGGCTGTTCATACTCGTGATGATCTTACTGAAGTACGAAAAAGCAATATCTTATTTTAAAGTCTAATATAAATATAAAATAATTTTTGTTTTTAATAGATTGAAAAAGAAGTTTGTTTATCAACAGCTAAATTCGAAGATTTCATAACTGAATTTCTTAATAGAACATTTCAAATGATTGATACATTATCTACCGAAATGTC